GAGACTCGGCTGCTTTCCTATAGTGTAGACTTGATTTTATTTGAAACCCTTCTGCTTCCTTTCAAGATTAAATGCATTACTTTGTTATGACAGCTGAACCCTCCTGTGAAGCAGCGACTTACACTGAGCAAATCCAAAAGTTTAGAATCGGAGGAAAAGTACTTTGTGGTTGTACGTCGGGCTCATCTATTATTTGAATTAGCCTGCCCGGAGGAAAGAAAATGAAAAAGGAAAGAAGAAAGAATACACGTGAAGACAGTACTTAAGAAAGGACGATGTCATGTGGGCATCTGGTCCGCTGTTTATACAACTTGTTACCATAAGGGGTGTGAAGTGAACAGCTCTGAGATGCTATTGAAATTTAAGGCCCGCTTAACATTTGAAATTAAACTGTCATAAAAGCGCAGCTCTCGGCCCCATAAAGTACGTGTTTGTTCGTCGGCCTGACTTTTACAATCACGTCTAAACACACAGTGGAGGAAAGGAGGCTCTCGCTCTCAAAAAAATGCACTCAGGAAATCGCTGTTGCAATAAATCTAGGATGACCCCATCGAGGGCGATATTGTATTTCATTTCCTCTGAGCGAAATCCTGATCCCGAAGATTCATGCGACTCTGGCTCATTTCAATTTCGCGTTCTCCTATGATTTAAAACTTTCCAGGTCCTCGGTTATTATTAAAACAGTATATTGTAATGCTGTGTCGTGCAGAAATATGTCCGCGGCGCGGAAAAGCGAAACGCCGCGTGCACCAGAGATTGTGGCAAAAATGCAGAAAGAATTGTATTAGCAAATGAGAGGGAGCGACTGAGAAATGGGACGATTTATTTGTGTCAGCGTGCCTCTCAATACGAAGCAAAGTCCATTCAATTCAAATGATGAACCCCTGCCTTATTTTTTGAAATGCTTCCAGCTGGCCAAAAATTTCCATGCAAGCCTGATATATCAGATTTTTTTTTCCCTTCCTCTGTGCTTGTTCTCACCACACAGATTGACCAGTCATCTGTGAATCTCCCATGGTTTAGCTGATAATTCATGATCGCCCTACCATGGACCCGCAGCATTCAATATGAATTATAAAATGGCAAGCCAAGCATATCAATGGATGACAGACTGGATGTGTATGGCCCCGGGCCAGAGAGGAGTTGCAGCACAATAGCTTCCCCCTTTCAGTCAACCCCAGGACTGCAAATACCAGTGTGGCATGAAGGAGGGTCTTCCATCAGCACAATGTATGGCGCTGCTTGAGACAAATGTTGAGCTGAGACGTAACATTAACCTTTACAACCTTTTCGGGGGAGAAACGCAGGCATGCTGGTGTGTTCGACTAAGTAATATTTTACAGTTTAAAAAAACAAACAAAAAAAAACTCTCTTAGTGAGAAGCAAACAGCGAGTGATCCTGAGCAGCGGGGGCTGAAAACCAAAAAGCATAACGTTGCAAAAAACTTTTTTGTTTTAGGGCGGGGAGGGCGACTCCAGTGCACCATTTAGCAGTTTCCTTACAAACGACTCTCGAGTCCGCCGACTTGATTATTCAACACGCTGCATATTAATGCCTCTCGTTCGCACATTCGTCATGCTGGAACAATTTCTAGGACCTAAACAAACACTGCCTCTTTGCTCTGATCCTCCGTCTCTGCAGATACGGCACAGCTATCAAACATAAACTACTTAATCTTTTTACATTCCTCTTTTGTGCAATATTTTGATACGAAGGCTGCGCTGTCTGCTCTCCTTTGGTATTCAAACACAACAGCCAACGGAAAGTGTTGACACTGACTACATGACATAATCCCTCCTTACATCTGTCTCTCTTTACTTTAAAGACTTAGATAACTGCTCTCATTCAGGCACAGCAGGCGTGTACCTGTGCACTCGCCCCACCTTCGTGGCTGCTCACTTTGAATCCGGGCGTCTTCTTTCATATCTGCAATCTAGGCGGTTTGAAACATCTGAAACGAACGTGATACCTGCATGCCCCAGTTTACTCCAGCAGACGCGTCATTTTATAGATCTGTTTTATAATCGTGGAAGAAATGCAGGGCGAATTAGGCAAAGTGTGGCGTTTGAAACGTTGACACTAGTTCGGTCACAGCTTAGAGAAGTTTTTCTTATTAGTGTTGGAGTAAACAACTGCCTTCACACACACACACACAAACACATAAGAGATTCACAGGAAGTGACGTGTGGATAAAAGCCAGCATTGCTGCCTTCACGTCTGCCTCTTCACCTCATCGTCTATGGGAGGTAAGAGCCAATATTTAGCCTTGTTTTAGTTTTTTGGTTCTGGTAACTCTGCGTTTGCTGTCTGGGTGGTGAATCAGTGGTTCCTATTGCTTTTTAGCAGCATTCTTTTTGGCCTCTTTTATTAGAGCAGTTAACATTTAACCCTATAACCCCGATCACCATCATCTGTGTTTTTTTAACCCTAATGCCCTCATATGATTTTGTTTAAGATTAACAAAATGCGAGCAATAAATAGCACAAAAAGGCAGGTGCAGCAAAAATGATGCAAATGAAAACTCATAAATGCAAACTGATATGTCAGCAGGTTCAATAAACAGTCCGTTTTTAGAAAAAAAAATAGCATTTCCTGGTAATTATTTCATAGTTCATAGGCTTTTTACAGGGTTAAATTACAGGCAGCTAAACAATAAGCTGAAACATGCAATAAAACTTGATAAAGCTGTGCAGAGCTGCAGATTCAGGAAACAACTCCCTAGTCGTCGTCCCCCCCCACTGTCATTTTATACATTACTATAATAAAGAAATATGCTGTATATAACTCTAAGTGAATGCCACTTTAAAAAAATAATGCTGTCAATTCCATTTGATTCTGCACGAGTCTGCCCGAAACTGAGCTCAACTGGTGTTTTTTCTTCCCCGCTGGCTGAGAAAGTCAATACCAGTAGAGTGAAAAAAAATCACCCTCTTTTCAGGTATGTCATCGAGCATTTCAAAGCAAGGGGAATGTTTTGGGTGAAAATCATAACCTGATTATAGCCTCTCCTGGCGAGGGACAGGAGGTAATTATCAAGTGGAGTTTTGCTTGCAGGAACTCTCAGGGAAACGCAGATCATAAGCCCTGGGATGCAAAACCCTCCGGGCTGCATTGGCTGAAGGTGACTGGCATGTGGATAGAATCAGATATTGTTTTCAGATGAACCTACACACACACGCACACACACACATTCCTTTATTGACGGATGGGCAAATATGCATTCTTAGGCCTGAGAGCCCTCACATCAACTGAAACCCAAAACCCGCACTTTCTGCATACCAAAGCAGTATTCCTCTTTAAGAAATTCAACAGGACTATTCAGCTCAGTTTCTAAGCCAGGCCAAATCAGAGGGCTATTCTTCAAGTACCTCAGTAAGACTCTCTTCCATATTATCTAAAATTGCTAATCTACAAAGAAAAAAAAAAGACTGAAGAGGTAGCCTGCTCTATACTAGACTGCACTGCTACCTTTGTTAATATAAAATAAAAAACTGTACACTACAACCAGGAATAACATAAAAGTGTAGGGTGTATCTATCACAGAACAAAACAGCAAGAGAGAGAGGGAGAAAAATGAAAGATCCAAATTCAAAAGGAAGCCCCAAAATAATGTGCTTCAGCATCTATGTGTAATCAATGCTTGGCACACGAGCATGCGATTTTGGCTTACTTTGTCTCCCGTTACAATGGGACTGAAACGGGGGAAAAATATAATGATCATCATTAAGCAGACATACCAACATCAGTGGTTTTGATGGGCATGGAACTGATGGGAGTGTTTTGTGACAATACTTGTAATTACAGCCAAATGTACTAATCAAAAGTGAGGGAAGTAACCAAAAAAATGTCACTGCAGACAATTAAAAACACTGACACATTCCTTCCCAATTCCTCGCTCTGGCACAGAATCAAGTGCCCCGCTTTTGATGGTTCCAAGTACACAGGCTGCTCAGAACAATCTGATTAAGGTGCAAATAAAAAATGCATCAATCCTCTGCGGCTGCAGTGCCTCAAAGTACACTCAAATAATCTGTTACACAGCTCATCCGGCAGAAAAGGTGTCGTTATGAGGCTTTGGGGGAAGGACACACCATTTGAGTTACTGTGGAAGTGAAGAAATGTGTCAGTCAAAGTGTCCGTGCGCTGCCAAGAATATTCAATGAGTTCCATACGAGGTGTTTGAAACACCTTTTTCAAACTTCAAGGGTAAAACCACTGAAGAAGAACTCAGCAACCTTGCTACATAACAGCTCTCCACTTCTCTAGTGTGGCGACAACAATGTGTGCTAATAAATTCAACACATTCATAAGCTGAATAATAAGTGGCTTCTTGAAAGGTTGACTAGCAGCACATTAACGCTACTTTCTGCCGTGCAACTCCATGGTAACTCACCTTGTGAACAGTGAAAGCAAAAGAGAAGGAGCAGGAGGCAGTGAAACACCGGACACCTCCGCAGTGCAGAAGCCATTGTGTTGCTGTATGCAAACGATCCAGGAGCCTGATGGCTAATAGTGCTGGTTCGGCGAGTTGCGGAGGGAGAGCTGAAGGCTGAAGCGACGTCAACGATCAGTAGTTCTTGGAGAAGCCTCGCCAGTCATTTTTTTTCCATCTGGAAAAAAAGGGGAGAAAAAAGAGAGGAAGATTGCATAAAAATGGAGGAAGTTGGTGAGATCTATGAGATCATTAGCGCTTCGCTGGTTTAATTGGCGTAATTTCTACAATCTGCATCCTACACCAGTTCATGTGTGAGTTGCTTGTTAAACGCAGTCAAGCAAATATCTAAACACCACAGGAGGAAAAAAAGAGAAGATCCTGACTGCTGTTTGATCGAGCAAACAGAGCATTTCTCTGATTTCAAGTTTCACAGAAATATTCAAACTTTATTCTCAAAACGATTTCGAGAGCAGCGGCATGAAAGCGCGTAGCGCGCCTGATGCTCTGCGCTTATTTAGCACGCGGCGGCATGTTACGACTAAATGTTTACACTGCCTCATTCTCCCACTCGTCCCCGTTCCACCTTCCCCATTTACTCCCAGGATCCCCGCGGGAGAAACCTTGTCACTCCGGCAACACGCTCGCAAAGGACGCCGTTAGAGACACAGCTGCTTTGAGAGCTACTTTTGTCTCCTTCCTTATCGAGGGGTGGCAAAAACAGGCCTTTGTCTGCAAAAGCAGCGAAAGGTTAGAGCCTGAGACAGACGAACACGGCAGACAGATAAGCTGCTTACCAAAGTCAAACACCGAGGATGGGTGAGTTGTGTCATATGTGAAATTACGCACATACACACACAAAAACTCATATGGACTCATTCATGCACAACTCCACAAATGTACAGCAAAGGACGTGGATACGCACACACAGGAACTTCCACACACCTACACAAGCATGCAGGAAGAGCTTGTTTATTTCTTGGCGGTTGCCATCTAAGCATCTCCCCACGACATGCACACATATCCACACAAACTTTGCAGCCGTCTCTATGCAAAGGAGAGCGAATGCTTCCTGCTTCTCAACGCCGCTCCTTCAGAGCCACCCGTCAACCGCCCTGATTATTTTATAATGAACCTAAATTTGAGCAGCAGAGCAGTCAGCTCTGATCGCTCTCTGGGCCTCACTAATGCGCCTGGATATTTTTGGCAACACAAAAACCCACAAAACATGGAAAGCTTCCACATTAGCATACTGAGCAATAATTTAAGCCACTATTAGATTCGTTCTATACGTGTCCAAAGCCTGGTGGAGGGATAACAGTTTAACAAAAAAAGCCTCCACCTAGCCTGTTGGAGCCGGATCGTATTTATTTTAATTTGAGGTCATCCTGGCCGAGCAGTTGTGCTGCAGAGTGTGCACCAAGGAAACTCGCACACACTCACTCGGCTAGCTTATAATTTATCAGTTAAAGTTGGGTGGCTTCGTGGGATTGTGGTTTTATTTGTCTTCCAGTTGTTTACCTGCCAATGGCGCCAAACCAGATCAGATAAGGGCCACAGTGGAGGGGACTCGCTCTCCTCCATGGGAGAGCTCACACCACGTCTACTCAGGCTTCTCATAATCTCGGATCTTCCACCAGCTCCAATACCGGGCAGAGCACGTGACGTCTTCCACAGCAATTTATCATCCACAAATATGAGTCCTGGGGGCCACGGAGTAACCATAATGGTGGCTGACAGGAGGAGATTGCAAACTGTTGGGGGGTGGAAAGGAGGGGCACCCCCTGCCCCTATGGCCCGCTGGGCCTGCTGAGCCACTCGGCCCTTCCAGACACCAGGGGGCGAGAGCCCGCCAGGCCTCGCGGCTGAACGCTCGCCCTCACCACCCTGGGGTTCTTTCTCCCGATCAGCCGTCGCCCTGCTGAGTAACATGTCTCCTTTCTCCCTTAAGCTGGTGCAGGACACAGCCATGCTCATCTTCCTAAAAACACAGTTTTGTTTGGTGGGATTTCTGCACTGAATCGGTCCGGACTTGAGATAAAGGGATTAGGCGATTAACACTGAGATGCTTTACACAAGCGCTGACAGACGTATCATAATTTCACATCAGGGGATGCGGCGGGGAAGAGGGGGTTGACGTTTGTCTAAGGGGAAGGGTGGGGGGCTAAGATGATCTCGAGCAGAAAATGATTTTAAGAGGTAAGTGAGGCATCGTTAACCCCTCGGAGATCGTGCCGAGGAATTATGTACACCCACCCCCCACCTCGAAGCCGGGGAATTGAGGTTACTTGTTACTCGGCCAGTGATTTCTGCATAATGATAATCATGCTCCACAGAGGCCGATATGTTAAAAAAAAAAGGGAACACAGTTATGACTAACTGTCACCACCTACACTACATCTAATGAGCTCAAATCTATAATATACACCAGGAGACAAATGACACAAAAGTTATTAATTTTCATCTGCGTTTTTAAGCTCCTCTTCCTACAAAAATACAAGGAAATCTATTCCCTGAGGTTTTTTCCCCCCTCTCTCCCTCCCCGTCCTCTATTAACAGTATATCTTTCTGGAAACGAGACAAAAAACTTCACCAATGAAATGAAAAATGCTATGCAAACATTCACGACATCTGTTTTTCTTTTGTCTCTTACACACACACAGTGTGGAGACCCAGGGAGAGAAATCTATCATCAGTTAGGATAATGGAGAAAATCACAGTCCACAGCAAATTTTTCACATCAGCCTGATAGAAATAATAAGCAAGCATTGAAAAAAGGATGGCGAGCAATTAAAACATAATTAAAATAAATGGATGGAAGGAGACAGCCCACATGTCTTCACATGAAATACTAGGCTGTGTGTAACAGCCAGCTGAATGAATGTGAGGCTCCTTTGACAAAGCTTGTATCTGCTTCACTCAAGCTGGAGAGGCGTCCAGTGAAAGAGAGTGGGAGAAGAGGGGGAGTTTGGGAGTTTCTAAGCCGGGAGGGACTAAATAGATGGGAGAGGGAAGAGGAGAGGAGGAGAAGAATGGAAGGGGGAGAAAGAAAGGGGCGGTGGGGTCACAGAGGAGGATTGACAGGCTGTGAGTATGGCCTGACCTCCTGGGTTTGCCTCCAAGTTTTCTCCACAGGCTTAGCGAAGACAAAAATAAAGCCCAGGAATGTTAATTTATTTTCAATTGTCAACGCCGAGAAGAGAGATAAAGAGCGCATACATACATATCAAGTACGAGCGGAACAAAACTAATGCGCAACTCCAAGTGTAAGCTCAAAACCTACAAGTGAAATAGAGCCGCGGCCCTGTAGAGCTGGATCTTGCCAACACAATGATCCGTCTTCCACTCTTTGAATAACTACTAATTTGAAGAACTTTCTGGCCCGCCCCTTTGCCCTACATTCAGGACAAAAAAGAGAAAGGAAAAAAAAAGAAAAAGACACACATGTGAGAGGAGAATTTGAAACATCAGAAAATTGTTGATGAGCTAGAAGTGGAAGATGCGAACTACAGGAACTAAGAAAACAGAGCCTCCAGACACTCGTTTTTTTTTTCTGTCCTCGGTGCGCCCTGATGTTCCCAAGGAACTCTTTTGTCATGACAGTCCTGTCAGGGTTGCGCTTTCAACCCCTGCAGCGACATGATGTCATTTCCTTGGCTCCACCAGTGATGTAGGGAAGTTGCCGTCAACTGCCAGAAATAGAGACGCTGTGACACCGGGCGCAGTCTGCAGAGCGTGCTTTATCAACACTGCTGATAAGATAAAGCACTGTTAGGATTAACAGGCAGTAAACAGGGGGGTTTACAGCCTCACACAAGGAAACAATTAAAGACACATATCTCAAATAGAGCCAAATCTTCCTTTTTTTGTCTTCAGCTGCCGTTCTGTAAGCACAACAAGAACTTACAGTTTCCAGCTTTACAAATGTTTGTTCTTTTAGGTGTTTTCGGTGAATGCTGTTCGGGGAGTCGGACGTAGAAAAGCGTAAGAGCAGTTTAAGTACTTAAATATGCTTACGTATATTAGTAAACATGGAGCTGCAGCAATAAATAGTAGCAAAATATTCAGATGATCTCTTAATCGTTAAAGCGCTGGTTCCAGATGTGGCTCAAATGTTGACGTTTGCGGGTTTTCGAAATCTTGTTTTGGCTAAACAGATAAGATTTTTGACGATTCGCCCAGATGTAACAGCAAATTTTTTGAGTTATTTTTTTATCTCTAAAAGCGGAGAAAAGGAAACGATAGAGCGGTAGGTTGCTTTGCTTCGTGACGCACGGATGTTGGGAAGTTTGCTTGAATGTTTTGGCAAATGAGTGTGTTTTCACACGCTAATTTTTTGTGAAAATATGTCTTTGCATGAGTTCCCATTAGGCTGCACGTGCCACTTATTCCCTCATAATTACAACAGGCTCAGTGCCCATAAATAATTCATATGTCAACAGGTAATTTTTTTTTTTAAAGATGGTTTGCAGATGACGAGGTCAAAAACGTTCCTGTAACATGTAAATATGCAAAGCTGCAATTGAAGGCAGCTCCACTTTCTGTCTTGTTTTCTTTTTGGGATAAATGGCTCCAGATTAAAAAGAGACCTTTGTGGATAGCATGCTTTTAAGTAGAAATGGTCGTCGGTGCAGCTCAAAAAGTGCAAACACACACATATACACATACACACAAAAAGAAAACCTGAAAGGTGCAAAGCTTCACTATTTTATTGAGAGAGCACAACAGTTGGTGTGTTCAGCGGCTCTTGGCCAAAAGATTGAGCCAGTAGATAAGATAGAGTGCCAGCGGGCAAATGGACATGGTGAAACAGAGAGGGGTGAGCAAAGAAGCTTAGCAAAGTGAAGAGAACAAAGAAGACCCGGGCTGAACAGCCAGGTTAGTGTCAAGCAAAATGAAGAGAGGATGGTGTGTAGCTTTCAAAAAGAGCCGTGCGGGGGAGCAGACACTTGGATAAAGGGTAAAAAGTGGAATCTTCTGTTGACGCCGGTAGTTGAAATCACCTGTCAACAAATAATGACAGCTGCCTAAAATAATTACCATCCCCGGTCTGCTTTGTCTGTCAACGATCAAATTAACACCTAACAATTATTTTTACCGCAGCTTATGAAATGTCACCGATAAAAAAAAAAAGCTTCCAGTTGAGTCTAACGGTGACGATATTGAAACAAGCAAAAA